ACCAATTCCCTAGCCTCTGCCAAACCCTAACTCTTCCACACAGACAAAAGCAGACACTCGCAGTAGCGCACCCCCTAAAAGAATGACCCCGTGCCAATAACAACCTTCTAATCGGCCTGCAATCAGCCTTCCAGCTCGCAAGGGTCAATAAAACGCGTCGTGATCCCCGGAATTACCATAATCTCGTCCTTGCCGCCATACGCGAGCAAATAAACCCCGTGACTTCCAGCGTCTCCCGATCCACCGGCGCGTCTGGCCTAATAAAACGAAAATGCGCTCATAATCCTGTTATCAAGCCCCCACGACCAGGAACAATAGCTACGACGCGCGCTCACGCGTATTCATGGCTACTTATACGCGATTGTTCCCGGGCCGGGATACGCGCTCGCGACGTGCATTAATACCTGTGGATACCCGCATTCGAAACAAACGGTTAATGTATACACGATGAATAAAACATGGCCTGGTCCTCCGCCTACTCCGCCTCTCTCTCTCCTCGTTCCATATCGATTTTCCCAACCGACGGCCAAGTTTCGACGATTGTTTACCGGCGTACCGAGTGTACATCGTCGATGCGCTTTTGTCGCAAATAAATTACCGACCTGGCTGGCCTGTCCGCAGAATTTTACCGAGATCCAGGCTAAACTCGCGTATCGGCACCGGTTCCACGCTGTCTTATCGCTGTGCAGGGATCAGCCTCTCCGCTGACGATCTTCCTCTCTGCGGCTCTGGCTTCTGCCATGTCGTAAATTTTCCAGGGCTGGTTCGAACAATAGGACCACTTGGCTTCGCTGTTCCACGTGCCAAAAGTAGCTTTGCTACCCGTTCAATTTCGACCATGTAGAGCTGAATTGAACTCGGTCGTTTGGGTCCTATGACAGATTCTAGACTCTGGACTTGAAATGCAGAGTTGCATTAGGATTTGGAAAGGTGCAGGTTGTTCCGTGTAACGAGTAGCCTTCCTGGGATGCCTTCCTGTTATACATTTTTGTAATTACACCACTATTTTCTTTTTTATCCTTTTTTCTATCCCTGTCTTCTTGGACTGTCAAGTTATTGATAACGAGACTCGGCAAGGAGTGGGAAAGAAAGGGGATTCGTTCCTCCTCTGCCAAGCTTGTCACCTCTGCAACCGAGGAATGCTCGTATTAATCGTGCGTTTCGAGAAACGGCAAGATTAATTACGCGTTCGCCAATTGCGTTGAAACGTAAACGGAGATTTCGCGTAGGCGCCTTTGTTCCGCGACGCACGTCAGTTTCGCTAATTTCGTCGTCCCTCGTGTCGAGCAGCGCTACGCAGTTAATTAACAGACATCTGAAATAAAACAGACAATGGATCTTTCCATCGTTCATGCGATTTTCTGCGCAACAAGAGATACGTGACCTGGTCCGGGTTAGTCTCTGTTGCACGGGGTCTAGAATCGCGATCGGAGTGCACCATCTTTTCTGATATCGAAAGAATTCTAAAAGCTTCCAGATTCACTCCCAAACATTCACAGATCGAGAGCAATAAGTTGATAGCAGGTTACGCGAATGAATACGTCGAGTGTCGTCGAATGACGTATCGTAAACTTGTCAGGTGGACCTAGGAGCTGTCATAGTGTGTAGCGACAACGTCTGGTCGAATAGGGTGGTCCTTTCGAGTCGAGGGTTTCTTTGCATCGTAGTTCAGTGTTTACTAGGTCTGCTTTTCGCGAATCTAGCTGTTACTACACGGTATTTCAATTATAAATTCAATTTTATACATTCCCCTCTTCTCTATGAACGCTGGGGGGTCTCTAGGGTAACTAAAGTGACAAGTTCTAGGTTTCCAAACGAGACAGGTAACTTAAATTTATGTTACTAGCTCAGGAATTAACTGTATTTAGTAGAACATAGGGAAAATTATTTAAAAATCCCAAAATGGCGAGTAAAATGTGATTAAAGGTGACGAATTCTTACGTCGAATCTGTATGACACGATCTAGGTAACATTGGTCGAATTTGGAAGGTGGTAGGGTGGTCAAGGGCCATTAATGCACATATACTGCTATTTTAAGGGTGGTATCACGATACGTAGGTGGAGATTTACGTGATTGAAAATCTTCATCCACTTTGCTGCTTTCTGGTCATCGAGTGGTTCGAGCTGTCAAGGCAGCGGGATAAAACGTGTGTCTTCAGTAAGAGGGAAGACGCGTAAATACCCAGAGGCACTGTATACACGATATTAACGCACACGTGAACACAGGCCATGCAAAATGAACGGCACGACCGGGATCACCGCGTTAGGTCGCAGAGCAAGTCGCAGTGGCGAAATTCGAGCGCTCCATCGCGAGGAATTTAATTCATGGCGCGTTATAAATCGCGGAGCACCGGAACCACGGGGAATAGAGACGAGAGACAGGAAAGATGGCCGGATAAATAACGTCGCGGCGCTGGCGTTTTCGACGTCGTGCTGAAATCGCTCAACCGGGCCCGCGGAAAAAGGTAAAATTTCCCGGTGAAATAAAGTGGATTGCTGCATCTACGGAAGTGCTTCCGATTCGCGAATTTGTCCGCGATTTTCGCCGCGATAATTTCGATCCTTTGTCTCCGCGACCGTGTTTGCCTTTAATTTCTCGTGGTTCGACGAACGAATTTGTGGAACCGTTCTTGCGCCACGTTTGCGACGGACAAATATTAACCCTGGATCGGTAGCGTTGGTCGTGGTTGATCCACGAGAGCTCCAGCCAAGTTACTCCATTGACGAGTGCCTCTGTCTCGCGTTCCCTGTGTCACGAGATTTATTGCGCGAGGTACAAATTAATTTGGAACGTGTCGGAGACGTGTAACGAAGATAACAGATGTTACCTGTTCAGAAGAGACCTGTTCTTGTCAGTAGACCGTTCCGATTGACTTCTGAGCTCCATTTTGTAGGATTTCTTACTAGATTAATCTCCTGCAAACCTAGATTTGCGCGTCTAATGAAGAACAACTCTTTTTTACTAACAAATTAAAATATTGCACTAAGTTCCTCACAATTCTAACTCTCAAGCGCACGATCCTCTATTCACTATGTCTCGACTACACACAATCTGCCTCACCCGCGCTCTTGCACCCTTATTTAAAATCAAAACTCTCTCTTTTCGTACACAGGCTTTCTTTCTCAATCACTCGACCCAGTCATTAGGTCCAAAGATGGCAAACGATTTAAAACCAAAAGTTAACACATTGAGCGCCAGCCTCATTCGCTTGTTTCC